TTTATTTTTTGTTAGAAAGAGCATGTCAAGACGCAGTGCACCAAAGAGTCCTTTTTTTAAATACTTACTTTTCAAGCGAAAAAAAAGGATGACAAATTCAATGACTCAAAACAACTAAAAAATGGTCCCGTTTCTATAGAGGCATTCTCGTATATGATAATAAAAAAACACTTATTTCCAAAAAAAAAGGACTCTTTTGTGCATTGCATCTCGACATGCTCATTCTAACACAAAAAAAATAATAAATATGTTATACGAGCCTTGACAGAGAAACGTGTTTGGGCGTTTGAAAAAGCATAAACTGAGAAAAAACGAAAAATATTTTTAGTTTTTTGTAAAAACAGCTTATTTTTCGAATAGAGGGCGACGGAAATCTTCGAAAATTTTTGGAAAAAAAACGGTACCGAGTAAAAATTTTTATCGTTTATGAAAGATCAAAAGACGAGCTATCTTCTCATGCATTTATCTCAATTTCGGAATTTCTGACGAAAATAGACTTTTTTTGAGGGGAAGCGTTCATAACGTTGTTTTTTTCAATTTGAAGCACATTTTTTTCTTATGCAACTCCTGGTGCTCGATCTAATTAACACAAGCAAAAAAATGATTGTTGATATTTCGAATTAGGAGGACTGAACATTCTCTAAACATTCCTTGAAAATCGAATAACTCAGTATCGATCGATGCATGTCAAAGACACACTGTATTTTATATTTGTTAGTTTGGCGGTGTGATCTTTAATTCGATTCGAATGTATCTAATTTTTTTTTTTACTTACAATACAAAACCTTTCATCATGAGACATTACTTGAAAATTCATCAAACAGACAGTGTCATGCAGTCGTTGAAATGTTTTCTTGGAATGTGTTATACACATCAACAAATCTTCGAATTTTTGCGCTGTAATGCAGTTATTTCATGAACATGTGTAAAATTTTGTCGCTTCATTCATTTTAACGATGTAAAGTCGAAAATTATATCAACCGTTGAAACGCAAAAATTCAGATATTTGTCGATGTGTAGAATGCGTTGAAAGAAAATGGAAAGTATCTGTCATAACTTGTTAATACCTCATTTTTGACTGATCGGGTAATGATAGATCTGCTTTCTTTCTGATTTTTCAACATTCTTTAATTCTAATAATCTGCCTGTGATTTGTTTATCTTTCCATAACATGAATATATTTGAATGTGAATTAATTCTTACATTTATTGAAATGATAATCTAACAGTTTTCTTGGAAAAGTTATAAGTAATTATCTGTTTAGGGTAGGTATGAGCGTAAATGAAAAGATAACATCCACTCATAAGCACAGTCAACCCAAAAACCCACCCACACCCTAAATATTCCGTCTAATAGCTGCAAGAATTTCAGAGTGTAGTTTAGACCGCAAATTATATCTATGATGAAAGTATTATTAAGATCGAACTTCTAAAAAGAATGTAACTATGAGTCTTGAGTTCAATCACATCTACAGTCTTACGAATGACATTAACATTGTATTGTAATTAGTATTAGTCTGTATCTTAATACACGACAAAATCAAAAATAACTATTTGAAAAATTTCTAATAAAAAATTTGAGCTATTTGATTTCATAATGGAAGATGTCGATTGATGCAAAAAAAAGACATTGTTCATAGAGTTAAGCTAAGGTAAAAGCTAGAAAATGAAAGGGAAAAGAAATGTACGATGTAAATAATCTAATCGGTCGTAATTTGAAATGTTCTGATTTGCATTGGATGCAGAGTAATTATTGTTTCTTGCAATGTACTTCCTTCTAGTAAAAGAAAAGGATAAATATATATATGCATCACATCACCCAACACAATCTTCAAATAATATCAAACTTACGCGGCATGTGAAGATGTGATGATTCACCATTATTAGTGATCCACTCTAGTCTATGCAAGTCCGACAAAGGTAAATTGGCAGTGAGTATCATTTCTTGTACATGAACAATTGTGCCAATAGTTTTGAACACATCTTGTAGATCAATAGTGACTGGTTGTGAATATGTATCATCTTCATTCAATTCAAAATAATGTTCGAGACGAACAAGATATTCTTTCGGACTCAATTGATCAAATGTCAAGAGATGGACATTGAGTGGCATTATGTCTGCTAGAGCCGACCATGTTTGGCGATAAATCATCGAATAGTTTATATAAGATGATGTATCAGGCAGTGAATATGTAGCTAGAGGATATAGAAACAAGCTTTGAGCACTAATTCGATGCATGCGAGCACTATTGGAAGGAGATTCAACAAAAAGATAATGTTTACCACGAACAACAAGACCTTTGCCATAGGCTGTTTCGTTTAATGCTTCATTAAGACTAACTCCATCGGTATACAGAATTCGACGATGAAGCATAATTTCGATGGAGCCATCATACATACTCCCACCACCTTCCGATCGATCTAAAAAATTTTCGAATGATAGAATGAGTTATAGGAGGTGCGATAAAATCATTCGTACCAGTGAGTATAGTTAATTGAGTTTGGTTATCTCGAATCCAGATGCGACTGTTTATTGGATAATAATTTCCACTTATTGGTTCATCACTCGAATAATTCCATGTAGGTCGATAATTACGAATACGTTCAAGTACTTCACGTCCATTGGCATCTGTATAATATTTCGATGCACTGTTGATATTGGTATCGTAACGAATAACAATCTCTTTTCCAACATTATCATCAATAGGAATAGGACCCAATGTCCATTCGATTTCAACAGCTGATGCTTCTGGATAGAGAGTGATCTGCTGAGTGACCCATGAGTTGAAGACAATGAATGCCGATTGTAATATTTTTGTTTTTGTACAATTTCTATTTTATTAGTTTTTCAGCGAAATGACAAGTCGTTGAAAGAATCATTTTAAATGAAAATACTTACATGGTACGTTGGGCGCTTACTGGTTGTGCATGAGAACTCAACGGTCGAAACATGTAGGCACCAGATGCTTCAAATCCCTGAGTACTGTTGCTGGGAAAGCCTATCGAAGCAGAAATAGAATAGTTTCAAGGCAAAAGCAAGAAGTGCTCATGAAACATCTGAGAAGCTTGACTTTTTAAAATAACATATGGTTTATAAACTTCATGATCTCAATGTCGGACATACTTAATACTTTTCACAAAATAAGTGAAATAGATCGTTTGTTTTTTGAAACAAATAATTTCCAAAACGACGAACAAACAGAACTCAAAATTTTATGAGTTAAGTAGGCTTAAGTTCGTGATTAACCCATTCGATTTACAGCGAAATTATTTATAACGATGTTGATTCCTATTTATGGAATCTGTTAATTACCTGGCTTCGATCGCTATCAAAGTCACAATCAGTTTCATCTTAACATTTCTTCTCTATACAAAAGTATTCTCTGATCCTTATTAAATAAAATAGTTATTTTTCACATATCTAAATAACTTACTTGAGTACCAATAGAAGCCCTGATTAGTAAATGGTAGTGTCAAATTCTTCTCGAGATTGATAATCTGTTGCAAATTGCCTTGATCATCGAATTTCACACGCAGATGCTATTAATGACAAATCAACTGATGAATAATAAAGACTGACAGTGTCCTACTTCGTTTTGTAAAATACATGCTTCATTTTGTGTCATTATCACTTCTTTGTGTACGTGTCTTTGTTTATCGGCTATCATATTAAATAACAAAGAAAAATGATGAAAATTATTTCTCAAGAAAGAAAAATATTTTCAAGAACATTTTTGATTTTGAAAAAAAAACAAATAATCGAAACTGGATGTTTTGAATATTCACAATGCAAAGAGAAAAACAATGTATGTAGATACACGCGGAATTATTTATTGAAGAACAGAAGTAGAATGTTCAGATCCACTTTGAAAACATAATTGGTCTATTAAATAAGAAAAAACTATTCGCATTTTGAAGGCTTTCATCTTTTCTTTATGGATACACAAACATTTTATTCGCACTTTTATGACACCTTTTGAAGAGTTTCTTGTTCAAAAAAAAACAATTGACTTTATCTATAGAAATTGTACATACTTCTAGCTTCGAAGTAGTAAGTATTGTAGCCAAGTGCAGGTAATTGTGCTTCGAAGATATACTGATTTTGAGCAGCACTTGTTCGACCAGGAATCATTTTTGTGGTGTCTGAAATTGGGGTATACTACAACAGAGAAAGCAAAACAGATTATGTTCTTTGTTTTTCATTTGTGATCTATTCTATACGTCAGCTAAAACAAAGTTCCCCATGGGATCATGAATCGAATATTCTCGAGTGACGGGTACATGCGGATGAATAGTCACTGGATGAATCGTTGGATTCCAGAGTGTTAAAGTGAACTAAAACAATGAAAGAGATATCTATCATTAGTCATTTAGAAATTCATTTACTTGATCTTGTCTTTCAATCGGCAGACACTCACTGATGTTTGAAAATAAACAGAGAAACTGTTGTGCTACAGAAGGTGTGTGACCTTCTTTTGGTAAAAGTTTACTATAGGCATCATTGATAACATCCTAGTACATTCATGTCAATATTATCATTGAATGGAATTAGTCTTGTGCGAGTACATACTACTACTTTGTCGATTCCTTCAGATAATCGTTGAACATAATCATTGGCAACATGCTGTCTCTCTGTTCCACTAACAGCGTCATGATGTTGAACAATCCCCATCGCTTCACCTATGCAAAGAAGTACGACTATGTGTTAATCAAGATATTCATCTTACTCAAATAGAAAATAGTATTGCGTCGATTGCTTTGTGAGAATGCATTTAATTGACGTGTAACTTGAAGAATATTGTTCGAGTAACGTTCATAACCTTTGAGAGTAGCTCGTGAAGTATAATAGCCTGTCCAGAAGGCATGTGAATGAGTGGCATAAGGAAAAAAGTCGTCTGTTTTCGATGTCCATTGTTTGTTCGCTTGATTCAAAGCATACAAGTAGCATGATGGTGTTGAGTAGAAAACATTAACATCACTACCATTTGCTTGCTAATAATTATATCGATTGAGAACAATATAAATCAATAGTTGTACAATGCCTACCTGAGCATTGACATAGTTGATCAATTTGTCCAAATTTTTGAATTTCTCATGTGCATTCTGATCTTGAAAGTCACTACCAAAAGTCATAATGATATGATTTGTCGTATAACTATTAGCCTGTTGATTATTTAAAAAAATGTAAGACAGACACTTTTGAGGAATGAATCAAGAAAAAAATATTGACATAAAAAAGAAGACCTCATTATGTGCAGCATTGATAAAAGTTTGAACACGTTCAGGAACATTGTAATCGTGTAAACGAGCGTCATCCTAGAAATCTTTAATCAGATAAAGGGAAAATAAGCCTAGCATTTTGACAAACCATAATCGGTGCATCCGTACAAAGGATATCAAAACAGAGTGATTCTGGCGCATCATATCCGTGTGGTAGAATACCCGTAAACAGCCAACTTTGACGATCTACAAATGTTGTATAAAGAATACTTTCGACTGCAAATCAATAGTTTCGCGTGTATCCAAACCGATTTCGATATTGGATCAGATCGAAGCACTACAATTCTGACTTACCTAAGTTGGCGCTCCCTTTCCAAATCATTTCCATAGTTTTTGTTATATTTCGTTTTGCAATATCTTGATAATCAGCTCGTCCAAAGAAAAGACCATCGAAACCCATCTATGTATAGGCAATAGAAGTATTATTCTACACTCGCATTAGAACTTTATGAGACCTGTGCAAAGAGTGAAGCCACTTCTCGTGAATGACCAAACGGATCGATTTGCCAACCAATTTTCGGTCGAGCACAATCACCAAACTGATCACGTAAAAACTCAGCACCTAAACTGTGTTGATCAATAATTGAATTGTAGTGTGTTGCCCCTTCATCATGCATCGACCAACCACCTGAGATGAACTCGAGACGACCTAGTCATTATGGCAGAACAAAGAAATTGATCTGCATGAGTTACATTGATTTTGTTCATTATATCCAAGTTTAATCCATACAAACCTTCGTTGACGAGTTGTCGAACTGTATTACGCATGTCATCCGATTGTTGATTCCACCAACGCCAAAAAAAAGCCATTTCGACATAAATGTATCGTCGATCAGGATTATCTAGTAATGCTTGAATCATCGAATCAATGATGTATTGAACACCTCGGTTACAAATTTCGCTGCGAGCTAAATAAGAAAATAATTAATATAATTGACCATTCTATTTGCAAAATCGCTCCACCGAATTTATCACTCACATCCATAGTAATATTGATCGATTGTTTTTAGCCAACCAACATCATCATGTGTATGAGTCACGATGTGAACATTGAGTTTATTTGGATGACCCAAATTGCAGAACTACAACATCAATACATCTTTTTCTCTAATTTACAAAATCGATGTACGTATGCTTTTTACATCATAACCACAACTACTATGTGCCTTGGTTGGTGCTGCGAAACTGTGCATTGCAATTGAAAGAATTATTGCACAAAACATTGCCCTATAATTTGCCTAAGCAGGAAGGTCATTTATTGAAACATTAATAGTCATCTTACCATTTTTGATGATTATTTTCACGGCTCAAGTTGCGTATGTGTCAGTCTCTTGAATGTAACTAAAAGATAAGAGACTTTTCTGTCGACGGCACAGATAGTTATCTGTGTCAGCCAGGTGTTATGATAACGCGCGAACTGCACACATCTATATTTGAAACTAAATATTGGGCTCGAACAATAGAAATTTGCTATAGTTATATCTATCAAATTATAGAATGTTTATCACAGATGTATTGAGATAGTTAATCGCCATCAGCACATACTACCATATACAAAACACACATTATTTGGACTGGTGCATTCTCAAGTTTTCATGATCAGAATTCATTATTTGATCAAGCACACCTCATTATTGACACGTATTGGTCTGTTATGCATGTGAAAATCATCTACTTCGCTATTGATATAGGGACCATTAAAGTGTTAGAGCAACGTGAATTTATTGATGTATATGTCACAGTTGACATGAGAATTTCAGTTGAGTTTGGAATGCGCGAAAAAAAATATAGAAAAAAAAGAGAAAACAAAATTAAATATAAACATAGATTTGAAGATAGAAAAAAGAGAGAGAGCATAAAAAATAAAATCTTTCTTTTTTTTCATCAATAAAACTATTTGATTCAAATTGAATATTATTACAATATTATGAATGGATTTTTATAAAAGATTTATAATATTCATTCTTATTTCATTTTACAAAAGAATATTTCATTTTCGTTGTATTCGTAGGGCTATATATAGTTGGTATTTATAAAAATTGTTTTGATTGGTATTAATAAATGAACAATTCATAAAATTTTATATTTGAAAATATTTTTATCTATGAAATCTGTGTGACAACCTCAAGATAGTCTATTTTATAGTTTCTTATTAGAGGTTCGTTTCTACGAAACGAAGATTCAGTCCTATGGCTATGACAACTTTTCTAATTAAGTTATTTCATTTATTGTTTCATTTTTAGCTTATCAAATTTAACTTTATGGAAATATTTATTTCGAAATTAAAGTCATACATCAACAATGTTGATGAAAAAAAAGAGAAAAATATACGATTAACAATGACATGTGTTCCAAAATGATTAAAGTTTTAAAACGTGAAGATATAGCTGTGTCTCCAAAATTTAAATTCTGGGTTCACCATACATTCTGTTTAATGGAAATCGGATTAAACGAAGTGATATATAATAAAAAATCTAATTTTCCATTGATAACACAAGAGAACATGTGCGAGAAGATTAAGGATTGTCCTACAACCGTCGGTCATTCTATTAATTTACTTTGGAGCCATTTTTAAATTTCTTTTTCATTTAATTAGTTCGGTTGACTTATTTCACACTTGAACTAATCTTGTTGATCTAATACCTCACCTCTTCCTTCTTTAGCGCACCATAAAATTATTCATCAATTCCAACACATATTCCATAAACTTTTTATCTCACTTTAAATGAATCGATCTGAAAACTTACTTTTATATCATTTACGCCCACACCATTCACCATCATCTTAAACAAAAATTGACTATTTTCACTTGATATATCATTATATATGACTATTTATTCCATAAGAAAAAAAATGATTAGTATCATCCAATATTTAATAAAGCTTTAGAAAAATATCGCCTTTCACATGCCAAGTCAACTGCTCGAAACTTTTAAACAATTCAATTGATTCATTCTGCATTACAAAAATACTTTATCCAGTTCCTATATTCTAAACTAACATCAAATAAAATTATTTAATAAAATTATTTTTTGAAATAAAAAAATCAAATCCGATAAGTATTTAAAAAAAATTATTTTTTACAATCTACCAAATATTAAACAATGAGAAAAGCCTAACTAAATATTAAATTATCTTTTACATCTGAAATTCGATTCTTCTGAATTTAATTATAATCCTACTGATCGACTACTCTGTAACAAATTAATCAACTCGCTAAAAATCGAATAACACGCATTTTAGAATAATATAATTAAAACAAAAAAAAAAAGTTCATGCCACGCATGTCTCGCTCATCGAAAAATTTATCTGTTTCCAAAGAAAAAAATTTTTTTTTTTAAATAGAAATCTCAATGTCCCGCATGTCCCGATGATCGAAAAAATCTATCTATCTTATAAGAAAAAAATAAATTGTATATTTTTATCTAATAGAAATTTCAATGTCCCGCATGTCCCGATGATCGAAATAAAATCTATCTATCTTATAAGAAAAAAAAATTGTCTATTTTTATCTAATACAAATTTCAATGTCCCGCATGTCCCGATGATCAAAAAAAATTCTATCTATCTTATAAGAAAAAAGTAAATTGTATATTTTTATCTAATAGAAATTTCAATGTCCCGCATGTCCCGCTCATCAATAAAATAAATAAATAATCAAATTAATATAAACAACCGCCATATTATTTTCGCCTTATATTCTATATAAACTATTCTTTTAAGTTAATAATATATTTTAAAGCATTCATATTTTTACTTTGTCTCTCGTAAAAAAGAATAATTTATCTATTATATGTGAAATAATCTCCTAAATTTACCAATTCTGTTTTCTTTCCTATTAATTAAAAATATAGATATAGATATTGTTTCTATATTTATATGAATTCCAATCTCAACTAAATTCTCTAACCAACTGCGACATATACAAAACATAGTAGCATAGCATCAATCAATCATTGGTTAGGAAAGTAGACGGCATCAAGTTGGGTATAGTATATAACTGTCGACATGGGGCTGAAATGTGGAGATGAGTGAGGGATATGCGGATTTTGGAGCGTGTTGGTTTACATGCGCACAAATAAAGACGAAATATTGGCATTCACACCTAGATTTATATCCAGATTGTGACTTTAGAGGTATATCAGAACTCATAGACGAATGCATGTGCGAGAGTTGGTCTTTTTATCACCCACACTTCATAAGAGAAAAGAGAACTTTGCTAAGCATTGTGCCGCATTCGACTAAGTGAACTGGAAAACCAGTACAGTATCAAATGACGCATTTTAATTGACCACTAGAAGAATTTTTGTTTCAACATGTTTAGTTTTTGGATAAAGTGTTTGATAAATATGATTATCGAATGTTAGGGCACGCACAAAGCCGAAAAATAAAATAAGCTAAGATATTTGTGATGCGACATCAAATTAGGCTTATGATATGAAAGAAGTTACAGGATTGGATGAGAATGTTTCGCAAAACATATTTGTTGATTGTCTGAAAAGTTTGCAGAATTTATATCACATATTTAATGATGTCAACATTATAATTCATACCTCAGGGGCAAATCGACGATGAAGTGTAGAAAAGGCAACCTAGTTCGGCGATAGAATGATGCAAAATATGCTGAGAAGTTGGCTGACAAATCTTAAAGACGTTAGCCATCTCGTTCAGACTTTACCGTAGGTAGACAGCATACAGATTAAAGACTACTTGGGTTATATCCACAGGAATGCACAGAGGTCTTGAACGTTTTATAATGATATTTATTAAAACATTTGGGCTTAATTTTCTTTTCATCTACGTAAACATTCTCCTGTCTTATTCGTGATCAATACGTTCAAGCCCTTATCATTACTCTCTTTGATATGTTTGTTGCTCGTCTTTCAAAAAATACCACCCAAACTTGTCGATTGAATCAGAATAACTTTTATATACGAATATATTTACTGAAAATTTACATTCTGGATAGAAACAGCAACGGACCCTTTTCTCTTCCTCGATCATACCATAATCTACTGTAAAAGTCAATGATAAGAGCACTAGTGGCTAGTTTCTTATGATTCTGAACATAATGGAAAATCAGATTTGTGTTTCTATGGTGACTGAAAGCGTGTGAGTCTGGATAGAGTGAGACTTGCAGGTACTACGATACAGCGAACGATGGAATATTTCATTCATGATGATGTCACGACATTGCAATTCAAACAACAACGTCTTGTATTTTTCTCAAAATTATATGAAACAGAGAAAACTGCGTAATACGGAGTAGTCCAAAAGTAACGTGGGTGAGGGTGGGTGTATGGCTGTGAGTGTATGAATGCAAGTAAAATAACCACATCTACACACATCCTTACAGAATTGTGCTTGTAATACTAAAAGATCAGCTGCAAGATACTGTGCTACTCAATTGTGACCAGTACTGCTTTAAATGTTATGTATCAACGATCAGATGCCACCATCGGAGAGCATGATCTCATACATATTTTATCAACAAAACAGAATCAGAATATTTCAATTAAATTGCATCCAATACAGCGACGGCTAAGACTTTCGCAAAAAATGAATGAATGAATCCATAGATCTTATATCTTAAAGATCCTTTATCATTACCCACCATTTGTTTATATGTCGGATGTGGATTATAATTCACAGGTTGAAAGACACGAGTCATATGCTATCTCTGATTCGAATCACAGTTATACTATACAAATACGTTCAATGATGATCTTACTTATTCCTTTGTTCATTCATGTGTAGCATACATTTCTCTGAAAACAAAACTTATCGATTTTCTTTTCAATACACACGATTAGTATGTTTGCATCATTTCGCTTGACTACATTGACTCATCAAAGATTTCAAACGCAGTTGAAAGCCTATTTCTTCATTTGAAATAAACCTTAATCGTGAAACATCTGCTTGTATCAATAGTCAAAAACAAAATAAAAAATCAAAATACAGCGTGGTTCAACAAACAATACAATTGAAACTCTTGTGAAATACGGCTCAAGAAATAACAAACGTGAACGTGGAGACACAAAACCTACAAATATCCGCAAACAGTCGCACCAGCAACGGCATTCTCATATCAATTCTTTTAAGAGTATCAGTTTAGAGATCGTGTATATCATCAAAAGAAATTAGAACTTTATTCGATTTCTTTGTTGAGCATTGGCTAGAAATTTTGCTCCTTGACGACGAAGTTTATTGTAATAAAGGTACAATGCGGTTAGTGTCTGTTTTAAAAATGCAATAAATGATAGATAGTGGAAGATTAGGACATTACTTCGTTTTATTCGAGAGTTTGAACAATATGTTATGCTCCTCGATGACCAATATTATTGCCGCTAAGACTCAGTGTGATTAGTATCTGTTTTGAATAAGTATTGAATGATAAATGAAGCAAGCAAAGAGATTACCTAGTTTTGTTCGAGAGCTTCGGCGAGATATTGTGCTCCTTCATCATCGATTCGATTCTCTCTGAAGTTCAGTGTAGTTAGTATCTGTTTAGAACACGTAATAAACGATAAATAAAGAAATCAAGGATACTACTTGATTTTTTTCGAGATTTTGGGCGAAATGCTGTGCTCCTTCATCACCGATATTATTTGTGGAGAGGTCTAGTACAGTTAGCGTCTATTTTGAACAGATATTGAATGATAGATAAAGAAAGTAAGGATATTACTTGCTTTTCTTCGAGACCATTACCAAGATATTGTGTTCCTTCATCACCCATTTCATTTAGGGAGAGTTTCAGTATGGTTAATATCTATCTTGAAAAAGTAATAAATGATAGACAATGAATATGGAGACAATACTTTGTTTTGTTTGAGAGTTTCGCCAAAATGTTGTATCTCTTCATCACCGATCTTTTTGTAGCTATGGTCTAGCAGAATTAGTGTCTATGTATGAGAATAAAAAGTTGAAATGATTGAAGGGTTTGCCAGGAAATATCTCAAAAGGATCGATAGGCACCAATAGTTACTTTATTCAGAAAATGTGTGACCTAGTTCATTCACAGCAGAATTTTTCGTTTCAGATAGAAAACACTGGAAATTTTGGTAAGTATAAGAATTTCTTGTGGCGCATGTTAGCTGTCTTAAAATTGTTATTGGGTCGACGATGCAAATTCGACGCTCTGGGAAAAAAATGCGAAACCACAGTATCGACTGAATAAATAATGAATAATAAGTCCTGATACTCGTCAATGTTTGATGCAGAAAAAACAAAAATTTCTCATTCATTGGAAGTGGTGTTGACCCTTTTATGTTCATGACATTGTTTGACTTCTGAGTTTTATTTCCGCAAATATTATAAGAGTTGCCTGTCTTATTTGAGGCGATGTATAGTAGAGATAAACGGATCATACATCGCTCTGTATCGCTAATCTAGTAGTGTTGTTGATACATTGTTCTTGGAAAGAATCGATTTTAACAATATTTGTCTTACTTCAGTTTGCATGATGATTTTTGAAACATAGCTTCTAAGTAGTTTTTCACTTATTATTCTGTAAGTTATCGTCATGGCAATGAATGGTACTCATTCTCCTAATCATTAGGTTATTTTTAGTGGCATTGTTTTACTTAAAATTCATTACTGTCATTGATCAATCAAAGTTTTCGAATAGAACTATAATCATATGTAGTTTTTAACAAGTCATCAAATTTATTCGGTTCCACCTAATGACGAGTGGTTGGACAAGAAAAATACACTAGCAAGATGGTGTATAGATTGAAGTCTTAGATAAATGAATATTATGTTGAACATGATAAAAGCTCAGCTTACTGATATAACTGTGTTTTACCTGATATCGATAGTAGCTGTCGCCAATCACATTCATACTTTTACAAACGTTGTACATGGAGCACAAAAGATTGAAATCACTAAGATGATCAAGAATTCGATAGGCGAATTCTACCGATAATGTAATAAGAGTTGGAATAAATCCGTTTAACATCAATGAAAGTTTTTGAAATGTTTAGAATGTTTAAATATATGTTGAATATAAAGCGTGTTTGATGGGCTTGTTCTCGTTTCAAAGAGTTTATCTTTCTTTTGTGTGATAACTTTTTGCTGCTTGTGCAATTACTTGTTTGGACAAAGTAATAGCCGATAGTGAAAATGTACCGATAACAATTGCAGATTTCTTTACTTTTTTTAGTTTTATTCGTAGCTAGTCGCTTCATAGCTTTTACATGTACGTATTATTGTGAATGGAATTTATTATTTGATGATCAATTTAATCGAAATAATGGAATTGTATCTAAGGCAAGCAATAGTTGACAACACCATTTTCATTTTGTAGCAGTCAAATCAAGCTCTCGATTAGTCATACCTAACTTGAAATCACTACAAAAATTATACAAGGCTTCTGTTTTCTGCAGCTTGCTCCCAAAAATCGTGACAAACATACTGATGTTCTTTTAACTTACTGATGAAGATTTCGATATATTTGTCACGGTTTAGCAGATTTTCCGATATCCACCATGGCTTCTAGTCTGTCATTTAGATGATGAGATTCCTTCAAGAAGACAAAAGCGAAAATTTCTTATTTCACTGTACTTCGAACGTAACCTAAAGCTATCTTTTGTAACTTCTTAGCTATGAAGAATCGAATATTAAGATATGTTGGGAACATATTGGTTTGAGCTCATTTTTGATAAATCTGTCCGATACTAGAGTCGAAATACTTCATCATACTTCACTGATATTCAAGCCTCGTGAGACACACACATACACATTAATAGTAGAATTGAAACAGTCAAGAAGCTCTAGAAGATAGTTTTGCCATACCGTTGGAATACAGTGAAGTACGAAGTTTTCTCTTTTTCTCTCTCGGGCTTCTAAAATAGTTCAAGTAGCTCCATCGTATTTAATATTTTTATTCAGTAAGGATTGTATTAAAAGCTTTTTCTTGATTATCTGTTTTTATTGATTTTCTCTCTTTTGACATCTATCGATGGGCTTAAAATTTCATAGGAGTACAAATTCTATATCAACTTTCTACACTATTGAAATGTACGTGCGACATAGAAATTCTGAATCAAATATAAATGTACTTTGCGTCTCTTAATAAGTTTTAATGACGAACAGTAATTACATTTTGTTTGTATAATACAGCTGAAAATCAAACTGATTTGATCGAATATATGAGATGTATTTCGATAAATTCACGTAATAGAAATATTCTAATTCATATGTCTTCATAGAACTCGTCATTGATATAAGTAAAACAGGTTTCATTTTCAAAAACTCGAACAAAAACCAGACCAGATCAATCATCTACTGTTATTAGTTGCAAGACCGAGGTACTCGCGTTCATTATCTACTCCATCACTATCTCTTATGACAAAAGTGTCTGAAATGTATCGTTAAACATTGCCTAATGATGTATAATCAATAGTGCTAATAAAGTTCATTTAAAACTATCGAAGAATTCACCGAAGAATTGCTCTGTGAACTTCCTAATAGACATCAGTATTTTGTTTTAGTTGCACGTTATTCTAAATTATTTTTGTATTATCGTTAAGATTCTATTTATCTTGTTGAGCTGCTTTATGTATCAATCAATAATTTTCGTTGACTATTAAACAACGCTATAAAGCGCGATACTCAAAAATATCTGATTGTACAGATTTATCATCGCTAATATTAGATGAATTTTTGTAGGCTCTTATCTGCTTTATTCTTATCTTGAGAGGCTTGTTATATTGATATAGATAAAAAACAAAAGTCGACAACAAACCATGTCTTTCTACTTTATCAAAATTAAAGTCAATCTAAAGCAAAGTCTCTAATAAAAGAGTTCTCACATTTATCCGAAAAGTCTATTGATCTTATTTTATCTTTAATATCAGCATAAAAATATTAAATCTGAATAAGTTTTGTTTTGATTGTTGCAAATTTCTCATATGTAAAATTCTTTCTTTATCTGTCTACTCGATTTGAACTTGATATCATCTTTAGAGATTTAGTCGAACATTACTTTTTTAAACTATGAGATACTGTTTTATCGGTATGGCTAGAATAACAGAGAAGTGACTCGTTACATATAAAAGAGGAAAAACTGAATTCTTGGAATTGTAGATCATCATGAGATCCAATAGAATTGTGGCGCATCTTCATGAGTCAGAATTGAAGTAGTGATGATTGTGGAAGACTGTGAAGAAACCATCTATACTATCCGAGTTCAGACACACACTACTATTTAATTTTTCTCCTCGCGTAAAACAATTATTCATAACAGAAGAAAATAATTTTCATACTCCTAATAAAAAGGCATGAGTATCCCTCATCCTAAATAATCGTCACTTATATCAGTGCATTTTATCTGATCATATCAAATCTTCTCTTTCCAGTATCACAAACCTCTTTTTAACTTTCAAGATGAAATTTGCCTCCGAATGGTTCATCTTTATAATGATATTTACTCAACGCTCGTACATCTTAGGAGCAATATTTTCTGTTTCCACATACAGTGCTTTTCCGAATGATAATATCGATGATACATCTGCAATTCAAGCAGCCATTAATAAAGCTATTGAAGCCGGTCCAAATAATGTCGTTGTGTTTCAATCTGGTACATATAATTTCAAATCAGCTATTGGAATATACAGCGCGATTAAATTGACAATCATAGGTCAAGGAGTGCAACAAACACTTTTACTTGGTAATAAATTAGCAGCAATGTTCCAACCTTTAAACTGTCAAGAACTGACAATCACTGTATTAGCCATCGATTTCGATCCTCTTCCATTCACTGCTGGTTATGTAGTGAGTGTGAGCACAAGTTATCTCGATGTTCAAGTGGTATCACCACATAGAGCTGATGTTGGTCGACAAGTTCATGCTATTCTTCGATATAATCCAGCAATGGTGAGGCCTGCCTTTGGTCTAAACACCTATGAACTCTATCAAGAACCGCCTGCAAATATATATACTAGTTTAATTTCAAACAGCATATTGCACATTCCTTAAAATGTTACAGATTTTAATATTCAATCCATAGCGATTTATACAGCTTGGCATATGAGTTTAGTTACACTGCGAGCTAAACGTTTGAATATAACTAATTATCATGTTATGCCGCGTGTTGGACGTTGGATGAGTACACCCGTAGATTGCACGCATTTTTCAGATATTTCAAAGTAATTCATATCATCAGCTCAATCTCATTAATTTTTCAAGAGTTTAATTAGCCTGATGTACTTAATGTTGGAGTTGATATACGTTTGGAATTCGGCAGTAGTCAACAACCGTTCACGGTCTATACAAGACGAACTGTAGCTTCGTTGTCAGTTAATGGTCCTGATACACCAGTATTCGTATTTACAAACAATCGAGCATGTGATGTCCTATTAAAAATACGACATGTTCATATAACAAATTCATTGTTCATTGGAACAAGTGGACCAACAGTACTATTTGAAACATTCATGTATTGGCATGAAAGTGTCGCGACACAAGATGTGAAACTCCTTCAAAATGTCTATATCAATTGCAATAAGGATATAGTAAAATAAAAAGAAATCATCTCTTTCTCAACAAATCCACGTCAATTGAATCGAATATTCTACGACGTTGTTATACAATCTTCAACCTTTCTATTGCGACCCTACACTGAAGGTTTAGTTGAGGGTACCAACGCAACTAATGAATATATCAGAGAAAATTATATAGCAACAAATAGTTCAATATCTCTGATTTCAGTCTGCAATAGTCTAAATATTTGTGCACACAACAATACCTTCATTAATAATAAGTCTACAATTAATCCGGATTATTATGACACTACAAATTCTTGCTGCGAAGATTTACGTGATTTAATTGATTTATTGCCATCAGGCTTTGATTTATGTTTTCCTTCACCTGCAATGGCAACAAAAACTGATGTTCAAGTTTACGGCCCTCATTTTTTATAAAGGTGTGGATAGCAGTTTGATACATAGCTAAGGTATCCGCAACGCAACATTCAAGTGAGGTATTTTGTTTCCCTCTTTTACACATGGTTTAATAGAGCTTGATCTACTCATCAAGAAAAACTAGTTTTTATCTTTTGCGAATAGATTTTCCACCTTGGAAAAGATCAAACACTAAGAACCGGTGGTTTTTTTTTTGAAACAAAAGACATCATTATTTCACTGATTACGAAGTTTTCTATTCTGTTTTTCTTTTCTTGAACTACTGCAACTGATTTATTTTAAATTTCGCCTTGAATGAGATAAAAATTAGTTCGCCACCATCAACAGAAGTTTTGAATCAGATTCAATTTAATCTCGTTTCTTTTTTTCCGCAATTTCTGACGCGAACTTTGAAAAAACAAGTCGCAGAAATTCAACAAAAAAAAACAGAATAGAAAATTGTGCAATCACTGAAAACAATCATCTTTTGTTTTTCAAAAAACGACCCCTTCTTTGTTTTGGATTTCTTTCGACTTGGAAAAGCTAAGAACTAGTTGTTCTTGATAAGTAGACCAAGCTCTATCGAACATTGTACCCTGATCAATCCAACATAGCTCATAATTTCATGAGAATTTTATTAGGTTTGTGTTTTTTCTCCGTTTGATTTATTCTCGATATATTTGAAAATTTCTTTTACAATTTCTTGGTGATCTGTTATTGCCTTATGACAACGGATACGTTTTCTCAAAACTCTTATCTGCCATTTCTGTTCTCATGACAGTTACTAATGCTAAAAACATCATTTCCATTCTAAGTCTAACAGTAAAGACAAAGAATCGTGGATGGAAGATATAGAAAAACTTTCATAACACAATTATGGTTTTAACTTAAGTCCATTCATATCGTTTTGATCAAGATTAAATTTTCTATTAAATCGTATATGAATCGTATACGTCTCGTCTAAATTAAATGATCATTATTAAAAAAAAATGAATTTTTACGACAGTGAAATTCATCAACATATAGCGACATCTATCAAATTTTAATAATCCGATAATTTAAATGTATATTTATTTTTTTCAAAATTTTTCTTTATTTCAAAAGAATTATATCAAACTAGATTAAAAAATATTTTTTTCAACAATAAAAACGAAATGTTAGAGGTCAACTTTCAATTTAAATGACAATTTTTAAAGAAAGGCAAAACAATAGACAAACGACAATAACCTTCGTTTTATTTCCGTATTATTATCATTCATCCATAAAATTCATTTCTATCTTACAGATTTTTTTTTAATTTCTCTTGTTAAAAAAAAATATATAAATTCATGACTGAAACCGAAGTAGCAATTTCTGGTAATAGTGGTGGTGTCAGTGGTGATACAGAAATTGATTTATATGCTGATGTTGTTGAAAATGAACTTGAAACAGTAGGAAACTTCTTTACTTTCTTTTATAAAAAAAAAACAAAGAAAATTGACTTTTGTTTTTCTTCATATAGGGAACGGGCGACGATTATATGGCTCATGATGAACATATAGCACACGATGCAGATTTATATGATGATGTTATTACAACACAATCATCCGTTACAGATTTTACTGATATAACAAATACAGTCAATCAACATAATACGAAACTTGATCATTCAAATGGATCGACAACGGGTAGAAATACACCATCAAGTGGTTATAGTGGAAAACGTGTATCACTCTATGTTGGTCAATTAACTTGGGTATGTAATAAAAATGATTGATATATATATATATATATATATATATAATTTATTACATTTTAGTGGACAACAGATGCTGATTTAGCTGATGCTATTCATGATTTAGGTATAAATGATTTATTAGAAGTTAAATTTCATGAAAATCGTGTTAATGGTCAATCGAAAGGGTTTATATATATTTTTCATAATATATCTAATCAATTATTTTATTTTTTAAATAGTTTTGCTGTTGTTACTGTTGGTTCTGAAGCATCTTCTCGAATTATATCAGAAAAAATGCCTAAACGAGAAATACATGGTCAAAATCCAACAGTTTTACCTGGTAATAAACAATCATTAAGTTTTTTTGAAGGTGTTACTCGTAAAGATGCACCAATGGAACCTATGCCACAAATGACTGCACCACCTCGTAAGTCTTCACAAATAATTTAAAAAAAAATATTATCTAAACTATTTCTTTAGTTCATCCTATGATGCGTCCACCAATTGGTCTTCCACTTCCAATGCCTCGTGCTGGTCCTATGGATGGGCAATATCGTTTTCCACCTCAAGGACCTGTTATTTTATCCGGAGCACCACATGGTATGCCTCGTCAACAAATGCAATTAACTCTTGGTCCACGTGGTCATGTACCTGGTAGTCCAATGGTTCTTGGCCGAATGCCTGGTCCACCTCCACCCGGTGTTCATCAACAACAACCTGTACTTATTATGCAACGACCTGGTGTTCCACCAGGCACTAATGGACCACCTCTTGTTCGTCAATCATTGGCACCTGGCGGACCAGGTATAAATTCATACGTCATAGAAAAATCTTTCATGATTTGTTTTTATATATTTTATAGGTGTTCCAGGATCTTCGAATTCAGTAACTGTTATGCCTGGTCAACATCCATCTGGTTATTATCCAGGTCAACCTGGTCAAGGCGTAAGTTTGTTTTGTTTTTTTATTAATACTAATTTTCAATTCTAGCCTCCACATGGTGTTCCACATCCCGGTCAACCACATCCTGATCCATATTATCGTAGTGTTGATACTCGTTCTGATCCATCAAATATGGTTCCTATTAGTGAAGCAGAATTTCAAGAAATAATGGATCGTAATAAAACAGTATCAAGTAGTGCAATTGCTCGAGCTGTTCAAGATGCATCTGCCGGTTTGTATAGACATTTAGTTTTCTTTATTAAACACTATCTAACAGGAATATTAAATATATAAAAGTACAAAGTCGTATCTACTTTCATAAACACTAATCAGCGACAGAATTATTATGATTATTTTATACAAAGTAGGAAAGATTAAAAATTTGTCAAAAGTGATAATTAGAAGAATAGGAAAAAAATCATGATAGAAGATTTAACAATATCATAAATGTTGTTGATATACGATCAATAACATTTCATATGAACAACTACGTTATATTTTACTTTTTAATTCTATTGAAATTGTACTAATAGTTATTTTCTTTTTAATAAATTAGGTGAATTTGGTACGGCTATTGAAACATTAGTAACAGCAGTATCACTTATAAAACAATCAAAAATTGCGAATGATGATCGTTGTAAAATTTTAATCAGTTCTTTACAAGATACACTTAAAGGTATTGAAGATAAATCATATGGACAACGGTAAGATGAAAAAAATTAAATTTTTTTTTTCTTTTGAAGACCTTTTTTTCTATATAGAGCACGTCATCGAAGTCGATCAGGATCACCACGTGAATCATCACGTAAGAAACATCGTCATCGTTCACGTAGTCCACGTGATCGTAATGAATATCGACGTAGTGAGGATTATGATGGCAAATATAGTCGTGAACATCGACGACGTTGAAAGAAAACAAAAAAAACATGAATAAAAATCCAAAAATCCCGTCTTTTTGATATTTCTGAAAGAACCAATTATGCGATCTGGTAAGCTGTTCAATTAGTTATTTTTTTTTTTTCGTTTTATTTTGTGTTAAAATTTATTTTTAAACATCTTTTTTTTTTCTCTCTACGTTATGTGTGCGTGTGTGTGTTTTTTACGTTTTTTTTGAAATCCCCTATAATGTCTGCTATATAAAATTAAATGCAATGATTTTATCAAAGATATATTCTCTAGTCATGATATAGTTTAACAATCAAATATGTTTCGTTTTTTTGTTTTACTCATCATCATTTTGTTGTTTCTTAATTGGCAAAGTCAAATAGTCTGTTTTCGTTTTTTTAAGTTTCTTTCTTTTTTTTTTCACCCATTGGAATATATGATTGTTTATATATACATATATATAAGTTTTTTTTTTTTTATATACATATATTTACATTATATTCGTAATTAATTTGAGATATATTCTCATTCCGATATGCCATTGCATGCTTTTTGAAGTTTTTGTTCTGTTATTTTTTTTTTTTTTTATTTTTATCCCAAATATTTCGAATAACATAGTATTTAATTATTTACAATAATATGTATACAGATAGAAAAATTTTCTAAATAATGAATAAATAGTATAATTTATTTAATATGATAATATGAATGATCATTATCGAACAATGAAAAGTTGGCAATATAATAAAAAGAAAATGAATGGTCCCTTTTGAGAAAACAGACGAGCATGATTCAAAACGACACTTATCGTTATTTGTTAAAAATAAAAAAAAAAAAAGAATAGAAAAACAGTAAGTGTCAAATATTTTAGAGAAAGAATTATATATAAGATTAAAAAAATACAAAAAAAAAAATTTATCTATCGAATATTTTTTAGTATATCTCGGTTTTTGTTTGTTTTACTTTTATGTTTTAGGTCAATGTCTCGAGTGAATCATGACCAACCGTCTTTTTTTCCTTTTTTTTTTTTTGATTTGTTCTTTCTGTTGCTGTTTGCTTTATTGTACAAACATTTCTTTTGCTTGTCTATTCTTATTTCTATATTGCACTATTCATTTTGTTGTTTCATGTTTTCTACGTTTTTGTGTTTTTTTGTGTATGAATATAAAGAAAAAAAAAAAGTATGAAGTGCTTTAATTTCATATTGTCATCAATAGAATGAGCATATTGTCAATGGAAATATGTTAGATTTAATTCTTACTTCAGAAATAAAAAAAAAAACTATAGCAAAACTGATATTTATACAAGAATTAAAGAGAATTGGGTATATTCTCAATGACTTGATAATAGTGAACAATTTATAATTTTCAGAAGTCGAATAGAATGATTTTAAAATCTATCATCTTTACAAAACGTTCAAAGATGTTTCATTGCAAGGAAATTTATTCGAACATATTCTTGTATGACTAGAAAAATTTTTTCTTAAAAGTCATAATTTAGCAGATACCCAAGAAGACAAACATTTTCAAAAACGCGTTTAAATGCACACAACAAAAGGCTTAAAATCCACAAAAAGTGGACATGTTTGGCTGACAATCGCGGTTCCCGATTGTCAGCCAAACACGTCCGCTTTTTGTGGATTTTAAGCCCTTTTTTATGCGTTTAAACGCGTTGTTGAAATGTTTGTCTGCTTGGGTAAGCATCAAGTAAAATTCTGAATCACTTGATTTACTTATCTTTTTGTGCCATTGGATATGATCTCATTTCTTTGTTGTAGTTCCCTTCAGAGAAAAACTGACTATCGAATTTTGCAAGGAATGATTCCAAGATGATGATTAAAAGTTTTTGAATCTATATAATATCTAGTTGTAGGAGATCGATAAACTAGAATAACTTCTGAACAGTTCATGGTTGATGTTAAAATTTCACCGAGATGTTGACATTTAAGTGAATTTTTCCTGTATTTGTTCGATAGAACTCTATTGTAGAATTTTGGCGTGGAAATTTAGTTCAAATAAAGATCTCGGTGAGACGAGTTTATATAGAAAACATCAGAAATTTTCGATCGCATATCTCTACGATCAGTATACTTTACACGGTATCAATGACAAACTGCTCGAAGTTTGAAAAATATATATCTCAAAGACACTCGATGGAAAGTTTCTGTAACTTTATGCCTAAGGTAATCTCAAGAAAACTTTCATCTGAATGAAGTTTTCAAGCTAAAACTCGACAATTAGGTTTTATCCAAACCATTAGGTCTATGCAGAGAAAAATCTCTAAAACGTGAATATTAGCCTATTTGAATTTTGATAATAAAATAAGTAATGTTTTGTTTTTAAGGAATTTATTAATAACAATATATAACAGAAAATAGTTTTATTTAAAATATTTTAAGATACATTACAAACTCTATATAAATATATATTGAAAAGATTTTTCGATAAATATTATATATGAATACAACAACATCTATGAATAATTTTCAATACAAAATCAATTCAATTAGTTTATATTGAAATTTGATCATCTTTTTCTATATACCATATTTGATTAGTTAGTTAGTTAGTTAGTGTTCTCAATAATATTCGTTTCTTTTTTTTCTTTTAAGCAGGAGCAATACGTTGCGAGATAAAGAATACACGAAATTGTCGTTCATTTTTGTTTGTCTTTTTAAACCATTGACATCGAAAAAGAGCCCAAAGTTCCGCACGAAAAAGTCGAGAAGTTACAACATAAACAATACATGTAGAACTAAGATTAATAAATGTTAGAAGACGAAAATTAACTGATAAAAAACCTTCTAAACTAGTTGTTGCAGCTGATTTTGGTCGATAATAACTAATACCTAGATAAACATTCCATACTGCAAGAGGCATAGTTAAGATAAAAAATGATATGACCTATATAATTAAGAGACAATAAAAAAAAAAAAGAAGATGTTAAAAATTTATCATATTTTATTTGTTTTAATAATATATACCTGTACAAGAAGCATTCGAAGAAGTTGAGCATCAAGTGTTTGTAATCGTTTTTTTGGTCGAATATTTGTTCCATTTCTTTTAATTACAAGAATCATAGTTTTCTTTGTTCTTCGAACATTATTTATAGTAAGAACAGAAAAAACAATATAAAGTATAGGTATCATAAATGCATAGATAGCAACATAATAAGCATAGAAAAAAAGAAGATAATTAAATGCAATAAAACTACATAGACCAACTTTTATCCAATCTATATATATTAATATATGAATATGTAAAATAAATGAAATACATGGTAGAAAAATAATAAACCATTTAGCTGTATTTATATGACTAAATTGACGTATTTTAGCTCTTAAATGTGTTGAACAATATCGATCAATACATGCAAGAAGAATAAACCATGAAGCCAAAAATAATGTTGAATAATATATAAATGGTAAAAATTTACATAAACCACGAGTTTTTGATACAAATGAATATTCAAAACCACTACTTATAACAAAATAAAGTAAACCTACAAATATACATATTGTATTACTAATACTTGCACCAAGCAAGTAAAGTGAACATGTATTTTTTCGTAATTTTGATCGTGCAAGTACAAAAACACTTAAAAGATTACTTGTTTCACCAAAAATAAATATTATTAACATTGGCCATCGTCGAATTTCTGCTGTCCATGCATCCATTTTCAAACTTTATCTAAGAGTAAATAAATGATGTTGTTATGATTACTGCGCGCAATTAATTTTTCACCTGCATTATGCAATTTTTTTTTTGTTTTTGACAGATATTCAATATAATGACTAGTAATGAATTATCTATTTGCATCATTCTAAAGACTAAGATCAGATTAGAATACACGTAAATATAAAAGATATTTCGGAAGAAATAATATAAAATTTTTGCGTATTTTGTTTTTTTTACTGATAGACCTATCCTTTTCTTTTAGTATATCTTTTAGTTATGTATCTAAAAATATTAATAACTTGTATTTTAAATGAAGAATTGTATTTCAATAGAAATTGAACATTTGACAGACATCGAGTTTCAGAATGACATAAATTCTATAAATTAATCAATGAGCAATTTTCATATTATAGATGTATTGTGGTTCATTATATTTTATTGTTATGTTATAATATATCAATCTTTGAAAATAAACTTAATTTGACAAGTCAGAAAGATGCAATGCATCTGTCTTGTCATCATATATCGAATACAAACGGAAGCTTGAATATTGTTGGTAAAAAAAAAAACTGTTTTCGTTAATGTGTCTTAACGAAGAGTATTTATTAAAAGATATATATATAAACTGATGATGTTGCTAAATAATTTATACTATAGATGTACTCTGAAATATAATTGTTAGTGATACTCTAATTGTCTCTATAAATTAATGAAAGCTTTTCTCTAATTATTCTTTTTTTTGTGTGTGTATGTGAAACGCGATCTAAGAGAAGTAGTGACGTATAAGGGTAAAACTTTGGACTCTCCTTCTCCATATGTCATGATGAACGTTGATTGCATATCAATAAAGTCTTATATGAAATTCTTCCTTATCGCATTTATGGAAGATTAAGTAACAGAGGAGGGTGACGAAATGTATCTTAAAAAGTGATAGAATAAAACAATCTCTCTGTGATTAGCAACAGCAGCTATGATGTGTTTCATATTTGAATCCTGTAAAGATATGAATTCTACAAAATATTTGTAATTAGAATGTTTGTGTTTGAAATACAATCAATTATTGGATAGGAAACACTTCGTTTTTCATTTAAAATCGAAATATTCTATTGGAAATCATGAAAGAAAAAAAATAGAATATTTTAATGTTGATTTTAAATATAAATAGAATTCATATTTCATGATAAACAAAATCAGTTGTGCCATCTTTTCAGTTTTTTTTTTGAAATTCATTATTTATAATTTTTTTTTAATCAATCTTCGTATGTTTTCTGATGATTATGAAAGATGCTACTCGGATTTTATTTTTCGTTATTATTCTCTTGTTATATTTGCTTTGTTTTTCTATTGTGTTAGAATTATATTTCATAAAACAAGACATAAAATTTTCTTACCTCAAATTATGCCATAATGTTTTTTGTTTCAAGAAAGAATTTTTTATATATTCTGACCTTTTAAGCTATAAAAACGTCTATTATATAAGGCAAAGCCGTAACTTTATACTTATCTTATTTTTAGTTTGTTTCTAAAGCTTCGCACATGAACAGATACTATTCGAAGACCACAGATATACAACGCTTAGTAAGAAAAGATAGCTAAAAACAAGTTTCAATAAATTCTTGTTTTCAAATAATTAGATTTGTTTTGAAACATTCAAAAAAAAGATTTTCTTTTATATATTCAAAATTAAAATATTATTATTTTAATCTTATAATAATATAAGCGCGCCAATCTGTCATATATGTTGATAAATATTTGTTGTACTCTCTAAGTTCAACTTAAAATAAAACTATAATTTCAAATTCAACTATATTATTATTATAATTATTTATTATTCTTGTAAAATATGCTTGAGTTTTTCTTCTTCTTAATTCTATTCTATCAAACAACATTAGGTAAAAATTATATGAAAAATTTATAATCTTTATATTATTATAATTTATAACTCTATTAGCTTTACTTTACAATGAACCATGTACTAAAAAATGTAATTTGCCTGGTATGATTTGTATAAATAATATATGTAAATGTGATTCAAAAAATCGTCGTTTTTGGACGGGTGCTCGATGTAGTCATTGTCCAAATGATTGGACAATGACTGGTGAGTATAAATGAATTTTATGTTGAAAAATATACAATCAAAAAAAATTCATATATAGAAACAGCATGTCTTACTTACTATACAACTAAAATGTCATGGCAAGCAGCAGAAGCAACATGTCGTAATGTGAAGGCAGAATTGATAAGTTTTCGTGATAAAAGTATAATTCCACTTATATTCAATGCATCTATTAAAAATCAACATATGGGAATTAGTACATTAAGTGCATGGACAAGTGCTCGTGCAATAAATGTTTCGGGATGTAAGCAATAATTTTATTATTGAGTTTTTAATCGTTTGAAATATATCGTAAAAGACAATAGATGAACTAAATGAAGATAAATAATTATGAAAATTCAAATTTTTCTTTAATCATTTTAGTGGGAGTGTATAAATGGCTTGACAAGAGTATAGCACCTTTTAACAGTAAAAGTGATTGGTGGTGTAAAAAGACTACACTTAATTTGGGCTATCCTTATCACTATGATGAACCGACAAGATTGATTAGTCCTACAAAAGAAATAGAATCATGTGTAAATTATTGGCGCGGTCAATCTAATATTCAAGTAGTGTGTCTAGATGATCAACTCTGTAGTCGTGATTATCCATTTGTTTGTGAAAAATGTATTTAAATTGCTTTTTTTCTTGAACTATACTTATTTTTCTCATTTAGCTGAGTCCTCAGAAAATAAATATATAGGACCACCACGTATGTATAGTTTACTTTTTCTTTAAATAACAATTATAAATTATTTTAGCTGTAATAAGTGATCAATCTGATGGAACTGTTCGTATGTATAATTTATTATTGATTTAAACAGTAATCATAAATTCTTCTCATTGTAGCAAATGATCAGTCCAGTGGATCTACTGATAATGGAGTGAATCTAAATAATGTAGTTTCTACAACGGCACAACCTAAAAGTAAACTATTTTCTTGATAATGATTCGAGTCATTTTTCAAACTATAAATAGTGACTTCAACTTAATTTGAATATGAATTTCTAAATTTCTTGTTTCTTGTTTCTTTTTTTTGTTATTTGAAGAAAAATCAAGTATCATCATAATAATAGCAGTTATTGCTGTACTGGTCTTATTGGCAGCTCTTGTTGGTGGTGTTTTCTGTTTTCTTAAGTCTCGTCATTCAACTAGATCTCCACAAAAAAGTCTTGCCATTGATAGTAATATTAAAGAAGAATCAATTAATTCTGATATAAATGTAAATGATAATGATCTTAATTTAAATAATCCACCTCCACCTGTAAATCGTGATCTTAATATGGGTGTAAAACAACAACAGCAACAAAAACATACACGAGGTGGTTATTCTAAACAACAATTTGATGAATTTGAATAAAAATTCGTAATTTAATATTATATTTTATTTTGATGTGTTTGTTATCTATTGAGACGGAAATAAATTAATATTGTTTTGCAATTTCTCAAAAAGGATACTCTACATTCGATTTCAGTTTTCTATTTAAAATCAACATATGAAATCAATTGTTTTGAGTAATAAGAAAAAATTGACTGTTACTTCTATAAAAAACAAAAACTTGAGAGTTTCATTCGAAACGCAATCATATCATTAGAATTATTTCTTTTAAATTTGTCCACTTATTTAGTGAAATCTCAGCAGAATAAGCTAAAACTTTAAGCATATATAGTCCTACCGTAGTCCAATCTTTCCTCAAAATATCATCGATAATTCTTATAATGACAATGAATAGTGTGCCAATCATTATACTGATCTTACATAAGGCTCTCATTCACTCAACATCTTAGAAAATGCCCTCAAATCTTCACTGAATAAATAGCATAATCTAGACTTTATATCTATGCAATAACATCGTACTTTGGTCGTAGAAATGAAAGGAAACAACCAAAATTCGATGAAAAAATGATTGTCATACAGTAAATATTGTAAATCAAATCTTTCCAATTTTTTCAAGAGAAATACAGAGCTTAGCAATATTTTTCTTGTCTGTTCTCGTTCATATAGTCAAACTATGATATAATTGCATAGATGTGAAGTCTAGATTATGCTATTTATTTAGTGAAGATTTGAGAGCATTTTCTAAGATATTGAGTGAATGAGAGCCTTATGTAAGATCAGTATAATGATTGGCATACCATTCCTCGTCATTACAAAATTTATCGATGATATTTTCAGAAAAAGTTGGACTATATATGGTTAAAGTTTTAGCTTGTTCTACTGAGATTCCATAATCAGTTCTATTGTGCCTGATTATATAAAACCTTGGTTTTTATATTAAAATGTGCCGTCTTTAATCTTCTATCGAATGCTGAAAACCACAGATCGCTATGACTCTTCATTCGAAAGTTATAAACTTTTTTTTTATCTGTCTTCGTTTAAAATTCTAAGAAGAATAAATATTTATGGTTAGTAGTGTTTGTAGAAAAAGATCTGTTTAATATTTATAAAGAACATTCAAGAGTAATAAACTATGTCAATAGTCTCTGATATTTATTCCATTTATTTTTATTATCAAAAATCGGATATCAAGTCGTATAGAATTATGCTCTTTATTTGTGACAAACTTTTGACATATTCTTGAAAAAAACTGATGATTTACTTCTTTCATATTATGTCAATAGCATTTTTATTGATCAACTCTGGTTTAAATTGTTTACAAAAAAATTTGTCGAATAGCACTAATTTTATTTTTTTAAATGAGAGATAAAAGTACATTATAATATTAATATGAATATATTTGTCATTTATTTGCCTTTGATTTCGATGCATTCATCTGGTCGAAAGCGTTTTCTGTGACATATATTTGGTTTACAGCATGGAACCGCGTTAAATTTGCATAAGACACAATCGCCACTATTTGCTCGTTTATCAAAATCATCACTATCATCATTTTCTAAAAACATACGAGCTTTAGCTTCAGTTAATGTCATATCATCATCATTATCAAAATATAAACGTTTGCCTTCACATGATGATAGCATAACAATAATAAACAAAAAACCAAGTATAACCAATGTCTTCGTCTGCATATTGCCAAAAATGATATTCTATAAATTTGAAGTTCAGATATATAATTCACGTCGATCAAGTTTTAAATATATTCGATTCGTACGATTTGTGACTATTTATATATACTCTTTCTCATTGTATATTTACAGTTGAATACTAATAATTTATGCATTTTTCTTTTGATCAAACATATAATTATTAAATAAATACATGGAGATTATTCATGTAGAAATTGTAAATGGTCTTTATAGATTTTCAATATACCATGGGTTTCGAATAGAATCATATATGCATAATAAAACGAGCCTTGCCATTTTTTTTTTTTATTTTTCAAGGATATATCGATAGATGTATTAGATGAAAGTTCAAGTAATTTTTATGCTCATTGATTCATAATATGAATTGATTATTTTACTGTAAAAGAAAAAAGCATGATGCCTAGACTATTTATTATAATGATGGAACCTAATTGAATATGATTCATTCTTGTTTTTCAAATTTAGTTTAAAAATGATCCATAGTGATGAGAAAAGAAAACTTTTCAATGGAGGATCTTTGAAAAAAACAATAGTCCTCACGATAACCACGTCATTAAGAGAACTCAGTCAGGTTGAATTTAAATACATAAAGCAATCAATTGAATGAATTTTAGATTATCTAGGTGCAAAAAAAAAACACGATCATGAACGCTCGCAATACTACTCAATATGTCAAAAACTGGTCGTTAATAAGACCATCATACACCATGAATATAAGCAACTATCGTATACGACTGTAGTATATGATCGAATTTGGTCATAAATTGGTAATGAGTCGAATTGTTTTTATCGAGCATTTTGCTTTTCTATTTTGAATTCAACAACAAACATAATACAAAGTATTTTTGTTAAATAAATCATTGTTTTTTATTTAAAATAATTCGAACAACAGATTAAGTAGTAGGTCTTCTTTTTCAAATTAAAAAAAAATAAAACTTATGTATTTATGGAGAGGGTAATGTATCCATGTTTAGTGAAAAGAAACATAAATGAATACGATAATATAGTGCGTCACATACCACCATGTATATTTCTTCAAGTTTTTCATATACACAACTCTATGCAACTGCTTACAACTATCGTGATAGAATAGTCCTGTGGAAAAAGTGATGTATTAAGAGATTATCTGTTTCTATACTGTTCAAATTATATTTTGGTTCTGATAATTAATAAACATATGATTTTATCATGTGTATTTTTATGATTTGATTTCAGAAAGATATCTAAGTCATTTTTAAAGTTTTTATACAATAGAATAAAAAAAAAACTGTAAGTACATTTACTTGACGCAAATGAAAATAGAAACACGTTTGCTGAAAAAAGAAAATCAGGCAATATTAATTATAGACATAATTGAAAAACATATTTTGTACATCTGATTTCAATCTTTATTTCGAACTAGAAAATACTACTATTTGATATAAAAGATAATAGAAAGAAAAAAAATAGTCATTAATTCAATTGATAATTCTGAAAATAAATTATTTTATTAATATATGATTTTATTTTTAAAACTCAATTCCGTTACTCTTATGTCTTGAATAAGTATTACTTATAATCGATCATTTTGTCTGTATAAAAGTGTTGAAGTCATCTTAACGTTAATGACTTGAAGTATATTGATTATTCTACTTTGACATCTTCATTTTCATTTTCTGTTCTCATACTTTTATCTACTATTAGTTTCAAGCTTTTATTAAACTAAATCAAATTTAGAAATTCTTGGTTTAAATTATTTTTAGTTTTTGAAAAAATACATGAACAGCAACACATTCATGAAATGAATTGAATACAATAATCTTTAATTGTAGTTTATTACCTTAATCTAATACTTACTTATCAACATGTTGTTTCTTATTCTTCCACAACTTGGAATTCATTCACGTGCAGCTAACTGAAAAGAAGAAAAAAGACACTGTACATATTATTTTTTACTGTGAATTCAATTTAAGAAGACAATATGCTTTTTTAGGAAAGTATTGAAATATTTTTAATTCACATTTTCTTCATACATAAAATTTATGAACAAATATTATTGAGCTGTTCTATAATAAGAAAGAAATATTGATTCCAAAAATTTGTTCATCCATTTACAGAACTTATTGTTGATACGATCATGTTTGACGAATTATTAATATTGGCAGTCAAAGTCTTGGAAAAAATTTTCGCGTCATTTCAATTCGCGGAAATGTTCACTGTTAAAGTATTGCATATTTTGTCTTCTAAAGTCTAGTTTTTGTTGTAAACATGTTCAATCTCTATTCTGTACGTTTCATACCATTTCGATAGTTATTCTTCAACTAATAAGCTCGAAAAGTGTCTTTGAAAACCTTCAGTCTTTGTTGATGCCTACATAAATTTGTTTTTATTGGCAGGAGCATTCAATTAAGATATAATCGGAATGAGCCCTTATTGCTTGCGTTGCTGTCAATAAAAATACTTTGACCTCAGTCAAAAAATGACCAATTCTAGCGCCGCCCTAAGCAAAAATTTTATTAGCATAAGGCTTCAATTTATTAGCTACTAATTAGTATCCATAGGTTTGAAACATCTTGTTTTATATTGAAAAATGTTTAAATCAAAAAATGCCTAAATTGATGTCTCTACTACTTAATGGTCAAACTAGACTAAGTGTTTATGTTGCCACAAATAAGAGTTTTTTTTAGCGAATTCATCGGCAGCGACATCCATATTTCTGAACTATGCACATGAATACTAAGTTCTTAACACTCGAATAGCGTATAACAAGAACAGAAAGATAGAAGTGACTCGTAGTAAGTGAAAAAATAAAAGTGGATGCTATTTTTTATAATCTCATAGCAAAAAAATAAAAAATGACTTCACCTAAACTCTTCAAAACCTTGATTGATGTTGTTCTCTCATAAGTTTGATATAAAACCAATGCAAATTTTTTAAATAATAGCGTAGATGGTAGTGTCGAAATATATTTATATTAATGTACGACGAACTGCTCTCAGACTAAAATATTCATAATCTAAATTAGAAAAATGTATTAATTATAAATAATGGTTAAAAATTAATAACAAAAGAAAAATAAAATCATTAATTATTTTTTAATAATTTTTAAAGCATCAATCATGGTAAGAATAAATAAGAGTAAATTTTATTGATAAATTTACAATTTATTCATTTTTAAGTAAACTTGAAATGTTTCATATGTTGTTGATATTGAAATAATATTCATTATTATGCTTATAATATGTATTTAATTTATAAATGAGTTTGAATAAATAAAAATTCAATTGAGTTAAATAAAGAAATACATTTATTATTTCATATAATACTGATTTGTCACGAGAATCTATCAAAAATATTCTTAAATGATCTTTTTAAACGTCTTTTTTATTGAATTTTCAATTAGAAAATTAATTTACAATTCAAATCCGTGAGGAAAAATCTAATCGAATATTTCTATCCATTCTCAGACATCTCGTATTCATTCTTAGAGTGTGAGTATGGATGTTAGCGTCAGTGTAGAGAAGAGTCCCACATATCCGTTCAGCCATCTACTCACATTCACAACCACACGAGATCCGCACTTTCTCTCTCTTGAAATAATCTTATATTGCATGTGACAATGTTGAGTAAACCATATTGATTTTTTTTTGCATGTTTGCTGTTAAATGTATATTCGCATGGCAAATATACTCCGCTTGAATGTTTTGTATGATATTTATCAATAGTTATCGTCGTTCTCTTTTTCCCTAGATGTTTGTATAGCAAGTATATTCGCCTACACCACTTTATGATAATTTTCTCGCTGATTTTTTTTCTTTTAATTAATTATATAGAGGCACAGCAATTAACCAAATAGTCAACACATTATCATACCTGTCATGTAAAATATTCACTCCAATAATGTCTCACTTTATAAGCAACAAGCATCTGATTTTTATTCACAGCATTGCGAGAAATGGCCTCTAAGAATGCGACAAACAATAACAAGGTCAAATTGAACCCAGCTGAAGTGGCTAGTATTGTATCAGCAACAGGCATGACAGAAGAAATGATTTGTGGAATGTTTGGTTCGTATATAAAAAAAAATCCTTTAATTTTTTTATTTTGTTGACTATTCTGACGAAATCTTTACAATAACAGTTTCCTAGTTTTCATCAAAAGTTATTCACAAATAGTTTCGAAAATTTGTTCTTTTTTTAAATCGCTATTTCATAAAAAAGACCTCTGCTTTCTATTATATATATACTGCAAACTAGGGCACGAAAAATAATCAACGCTTATTTATTCTATCAGCATATGCATAATTGTTTCGCAAATTGAATATTGACCTGAAGAATACTAAACCTCACGTTGATAATTGCTCGATAAGAACTTGAATTCTGTAGAAATATATTCACTAGTGAATTATTATACTTTTTTTCATTAAAATCTGCTATTGTAACTCATCGTAGTAAATTTTGAAAAAATTAAATATCTGTGTGTTGATAACTACTATAAGAGTGCTGATCAAATTTTTTTGCTAATCCCTATTCTAATTTATTTTTTAGAAGAAATGCGCGACAAATTTCCCAGTGGTGGTATGACAGAGGCTGAGTTCTTCGACACATGCATTCAACAGTCAGACGGTGACAAGATTGATGGGCTTGATTTTTTCAAGCTTCTATTCAAAGCTATCGATCAAGATAATTCTGGTACGTAAATTTGTTCAATTATCTAATCCAATCAGTATTTTTCTTAGAATACAAAATATAAGTGACTTTTCTCGCTAGATTATTTTTGACGATAATAGACTATGAATAATCTGTACAACACTGAGATAAAATAGTCCTAAGACATTCGAATGTATTAGTCTTTAGACATATTCATAATATCGTATGTTTATCTTTCAAAGTAATATCTAACGTTCAAATGAATTTTATTAACATGCAGTAATGTGTTCCACAATTTGCAGAGAAATACCTAAGGAATTGTTCAAATAATTCTTGTTCAACATGAAATAAATT